GAAGTTAAACAAACGAAGCAGAAATTATGAAAATTCCATGAAAATAGCAAATAAGTTTTCTCGCTGCTTGGCTGCTTGGGTGTGGAGTTCCTCCAGCCCAGAGTTCAGTTTGCACTCTTTCTGTCTCTGTTTGTGTGTGTGTGTGTGTGTGTATTATGTTTACTTTTTTATGGCCTCCAGCCGCAGTGCGTTGCAACAATTATACGACTGAGAGCACAGTACAACAAAACACAAACAAAAACAGAGCCAACAAAATACAAAAACAAAACACAATCTGCAAAACAACAAAACATGAGAAGAATTCACTCATTTCCGCTTACAAATTTGAATAGTTCTCGGCCGAAACAGAGGCTGTTTTTAGAGGCTTCACTTGGAAGGCAAAAAAAAAAAAAAAACAGGAGAAAATCGAGAAAAAATTTGTGGCTCTTGCGGTTTGTCTTTGCTGCTTTAATAATCTGCAGATTAGACTCGTATGATTGTTTTCCTTCCTATAGCATAGGCAGGCGTTAACGAGCGAATGCCAGTGAGCAAACAGTTCATGAGGCGTAGCCGACCGACCGGCTAAACGATGCGGAAAAGCTGAAAATCATAATTGCTTCTGGAAAATGAGCAGCCCGAACAGCCAACAAGGCATTCCCGTTTTTAATATAATATTTATTTAATGTGCCATATAATATTTATTTTAAGTACCATGCAATGTGCAGTGAGCACAAAGAGAAGAGAGAGAGAGAGAGGGAGAGAAAGAGCAGAAGACAGCTCAGCTATATGTTAAATAACTGTACAATTAAGTATTGCCATATCGTATAGCATTATCCATTTCTTAATGAGTTTTAAGTATTTTAGCTTGAATTTAGTTAAGCGAAATTTCGCTCAGTGTACGCCAGCTCAGAAGTATGCTATAAATTGATAATGGATATGCTTAAATATCGCTTATTGTTACTGGCTTTACAGTTTCGATTCACAATTCACCAGCAGCTGCTACTCACACACACTCACACACACAGAGCCCGCGAAGCATTGTAGCTGGTAATCGGACTGAAGCACTTTGAATAGCTTTTGCTGTCCATAAATCTGTCAATAATTGTTACGTCTATGGCCTTACAATATTTATGGTGCTTTGTGGCACAATGGCATTATGCCATTTATGATATCAGACCCAGTGGGTGGGCTCCAAGTGTTTAGGTCTTTACAACATACGCCCCATCATTCACAGCCATTGGGAAACTTTATTTTTTTTTTTTTGGGTTCTGCATTAAATAAGCAACTTAAATTTATTTATGTGATTTTATGTATATTTCGCCACAACAATAAAAATATCAAAAGTGCCAAAGGCGGCGGCGGGCCGAAGCAGGAGCCTTTAACAGCTGCTGCTGCTGATGTCGGGTTGGTCGGGTTTGCCTTTGTCATTGTTTGTTGCCACACAAAGTCCTTTTTTGTGGGTTCCTTTGGCCAAGTTGTTACATTTTTATTGTGCTACAAATTGCTGTAAATATTTGGAAAATGTGGAATGTCGAATTGCTAACCCTTTTTCGTTGTGTTCTTTGCTTCTTTTGCTTATACTTTGGCTTTGGCCGGACCCAACCCCAGTTCAACAATTCAGCCAGAGCCGGTCATAAAAACGASTAARGCGTTGCATAAATTATACGCAAATATTCCATCTAAACAATCAAGCCGTGAACTTAATTTGCCATAAACTGACGCTCAAGGTGAGCGATGGGCAGGTGAATATGAGTGGAGAAGAGCGTGTGAGGCGATTAATATCGTCTGCCATATTTAAGTATGTAGATGGGAATATTGAAAAGATTTTCGTAGCTGAGCCAAGTCTAAGTGAGTGAGCGCTCTGAGATATTTCTAATGTGAGCTCTATCCTAAACAGTCCATCTGATGATATATAAAAAAAATCTTAATTCTTGGATCAATTTATTAAAAAAAAAAAAATGTATAGAGGCAAGATTCAAGTTATCTTTACATAATAATAAAAAGGGAKCTCCTATATGACACTCTACAAAATAATTCTCCACTCTTCTCAAAATTCACAAATATATATCACACATACGTATATCTCCCCCGTTTCCCATTGTTTTCTTGGCCATCTCTAATGGCACCCAATTGGCAACTGCTTAACAAGCAGCGTGCAAAATTCGTTGCGGCTCAAAGCTTTGCGCTCATAATTTAGACATTTCGGGCGGTTTCGACCTTTTGATATTTAGCTAGAATTGCGGAAAATTCTGGGAATTGCTTGCCAGGGCGCCCAAAAAATGAAAACAAAACAAAAAAAAAAAAAAGTGTCGCAAACAAAAAGAGCATTTTGTTGGGCAACATTTTGGCATTGGTGTTGCCCATTGTTGTTGTTGCTGTTGCTGCCCCGTCGAAGCGACAGAATTTCGCATGCCATTTGATTAATTGCCATGCAAATTATGGTGTAAATATAATAACATTTTATTCAGCTGTCAATTTGAGCGGCGAACAAAACGAAACAGAAATCTAGACATGGGCCACGACATGCAAAATCTCAATTTGCCAGGGCTCCGGCAGCGGATGAAGCGAAGTGAATGGCATTCGCTGCAGCCGAGGCACGACTCGATGTATTTGGGACTTGGAGCTTGGGCCTGCGCCTGGGCTTGGTGTAGCGCAGCCAAGCGACTGCTCTGGCCGAAACAACCAAAAACACCTAGGCACAAAATTAAGACATTAGTCAAATGATTTTTTATTTTTATTTTTTTCATCCACTGTTTTGCTGTTGCTGTATGGAGAAGCTGTTGCCGCTTAATCCCTTCAAAAAAGAAAAGGCATGGGCCGCCGCAGGTATTTCCAGGGAACTGACCAGCTATGCCCCCATCCACTAGTCCAGGCGAGTGTTGCAAATTAGTTGACACGTTGGCAGCGGTTGGGGCAAACGCCGGCAGCAGACGGCGCGACGGCGCGACAAACAGTCGGCATGAATAAAGTCATTTATACAGACACACATACGAATACATACATATGTATGTGTGTATGTAGTTCCATATGAGCGCATGATGAGAAATACTGAAATGTTTGCCCCAGTCTATAATTAGCCTAATAACCCGAGCAACGGGCACTGGCAACTGGCAACGGGCAACGAGCAACGGGCAACGGGCAACGGTCTCTGCCTTGTTTTTGGCCGCCAGCTGCAATAGTAGGCTTCGCCTACTCCTGCGCCACAGTACCGACACCGACTCCGGCCCCTGCCTCGACTCTTCCTTTATAATGACTTCAATTTGCGCTGAAAGCGATTCCTGGAAATCAAATACGCCAAACGGCTAAATGCCATGCCATGCCATGCCACATACACCCTCCGTCCATTCATCCTSTTATGCTTGCTGGATATGCGAATGTGGCCAACGGTCATTTGGTATTCGCTTTGTGCATTTGGTATTTGACTCATTTAGGGGGTTACTTCTAACAAGTTTTCAACCGTTGAGCTCTGATTGGGCATTGTGAAATTATTAATCAGACGAATTTAGTCGGAAAATAATGCAGTGCATGCGGAATAGTGAAGAGCTTGCAGTGATATGCACTGGAAGGAAGGAAGTATGCATGAGGTATATGTAAGGTATGTAAAGTGTGTGAAGCATGCAAAGCATGTAAGGTGGATGAGGTATATACGTGAAATATTTAGGTGATAAAGGGTATAAAGTCTATAATGTATAGGAGGTATGAAAAGTATGTAAAGTATATGAGTATATGTAAAGTATATAATGGATGTGTAGAATATGAAGTGCATGATGAACGGGTGGAGTATGTGGACTACAGGAAATATATGAAGTCCAAGATTCACATACATCTTGCAGTACAGAAAATATTTGAAATACATGATAAATATGAAGTACAGGAAGGATATAAAGTATATAAGGTATGCATAGAATATGAAATGCAGGCAGTATACGAAGTAAATGAAGTAGATCATATATGAAGTATAGTAGAAAATATATGAAGTATTGTGAAGTGATTCAATGTAGATTATGAAGTCCGTAAAGTTTATAAGCTACACGAAATATGTAAACTCTATAGAGTCATTAATGAAGTATGTGAGATATACATACATAGAAACAGTTCTTCAATAACTCAAAATCTACAATAATTGCCTCTCAAACAGAGGATTGCACAGACCTGATAGCTTATATACCTATACTGAGGCAAGCCCCGTTGCCATATCGTGCCACTTCCGTTTCGAAGGTTCGCTCTTCAACAACTACTCTGGCACTTATCTAATTGTGACAAGATCTATTTCAGTTTTAATTTAATACGCCTTGCAGATAGCCGCGTGTATATTGCTTTATTTCTGTTCAAATAAATTAAAGAAAAATGCTTTATAAGCAGCCCAGTGGAAGCGTCTAGGCAGACTCCTCTAATCTTGAGCATCAGCTGCAGCGAGCTCTGCACACGCCCACTGCCTCATATTTTTCATGATGTTTCGTCTAAGCCATGTTACAATGAGGTCTCCCGCCGTTCCCCTCTCGGTCCCGCTCTGTTTCTACTTTTTGCGCGATTTTACAAGCGCAGAGACAAATGACTGAAGCGAGCGATGGCTGCGATAGCAAGGAGCAGCCAAGATCACCGAATCCAGGCAGGGTACAAGGCGGGGAACGCCTAAGCCAACGGCTGTGCCACCAAGAGTTATGCGCAAAATTAAATTTGCAAACGCAAGTGAAGCAGCAGCAGCAGGAGCAGGAGCAGGCCCAGACCCATACCAAGAGCCGGAAAGTCTTGGGCTTTTGAAAAATACAGCGCCGAAAAGCAATCGCGCCACGCACGCCCAACATCAGTTTGATAAATTGATATCAGCGATCGATGTGCGGCGATGCGCGGCGTTGCTCGGCTAGCGCTGCGCCGATAACTCGTATTGTCTTGTTGAGGATGGGCTGAGTTTTTAATTGAAAAAAATAAAAGTAAGATAAAACTGAACGAAGAAGAGGCGACGAGGCGCTGCTTAAGGGGGAGGGGCTTAGTGGGAGGGCATGGCAGACATCGGTACTCACCTATCGAACCGTCTAGGGAGTAGGCATTACGCTGCCAGGCCCACGTGCATAGATCACAGGTGGTCAGGCCGTCAGCGGCGACGCTTTCATCCAGAAAGGGTGGACGGGGCGGCGGTGGCACAAAATGTCCATTCCACAGCCCATTCTCGCTGGCATCGAAGGCCAGCGGCGAATCGAACGTGTCCACCTCGATGGCATTGGACCACCAGTCATCGTCCAGACTCGGATTATAGCCAGCACTGGCGCCGCCCAGTTCGGTTGGATCGGGCGCAGCCAGCTGGCTGTCCATACTGGGATCCGCTGGATTCGCGGGCGTTGGATGCGCCGCCAGCGAATCCAGTCGAGAGTTGGGAAACGCCGAACGCAGCGTTGTTGTTGCCTCATCCTGATATAAATCCGCGCCGCCAGCAGCCGGCTGCCGTGAAAACATTTTACCCCTCTCACAGCTCAACCCGAGCACGCGGCTCACTCAGCTGGGCGACAAGTGTCTCTGCGGAGCAACGTCAATGCATCGGCCACATGGATTGCGATTGCGCTTGCGTGCTGGGTGTTCCGACAGGCCAGACTGCAAAATATGAACAGAAATACCAAAATAAATAAATAAATATAGTTGAGCACATTTATTAAAAAACTTGTCACAAATTATTAAAGCCGGCTAAAAATGTTGCCAAATAATGTCAAATTTAAATTTGTAAAGCAACAACTAACTACCACAACGGCAAAGGCAACGGCAGCGGCAGCTTGTTAGCACTTTTTCGAAAGTTGTTCCCCCCAAAAAGTTGCAATTTATTTCATAAATTATATGAATGCATGAATGCTGCATGCGGCATGTATATACAACATAAAAGACATTGTTCAGGTTTCGTCCATGCCACGTAGAGCAGGTCTCGTTTGCGAATTAATTTGCAAAATGATTTCGAAATGGTTTAGTAGCTTAGTTTACATACTACATACACATATATGATATATGATATTTTGGGAATTGTGATACCTTAATTGAAGGATTAACAAGTTTTCAAAGTGAGAATATTATAGTGCGTTTATAAATTCATAAGTTGGCTTGTGTGTTGCGGTGTGAAAATAAATAATAACTCGAGTGAAATCTGACTAAAATTTTTGTGGTGTGTGCCCGAGTAGAATACACCTGAATTTTTATGCTAGGTATTTAAATTATTCTCAGCTGCATTTACACATTTTATACACAAAAATAGCAGTGTCCTTGAGCTTCGGCTTCAAACTTGATAAATCATATTAGAAATACCATAATTACACCAGTTTTTTATTAATTTAGAATTTATATTTATATATCACAAAATTAATTATACGCCAAGCCATACTATTATACATCTACAGCAAGCGATACTTTCTGGTATCAACCAAGTTTCCTTCTACCTCTACATTTTGATAACAAGATTATATACTGAACTATTATTTTCAACCAATACATACATACATACATATGTATATGCTTATATTCATTCTCCCCTCACAGCTCGTCTATTTATTCTAACGCTTTTAATACTCTTGTGTGGTTTTATCTAACAAATTAAATGGAATAAATCTGGCTCCTTTTAAGCTAGCTATCAGGTTGAGGCACATGCTTAGCTTGGAGCGCAAACTAATGATGCAGTTTCCACCTTTATAAATAAAGTGCACAATAAAGACCTCAAATTGCAGGCGACCAACATGAAAGGGGCGTGGTCTATGCAAACATAGCCACATTTATGAGTCAGGTTCAGGTTTCTAGCTACCATACATACAGCAGCTGCCGGGGACGTGGCTGGGCTGGGGTCTGACTCTGGCTCTGGCTCAGGCTCTGGCTAGTATCTGCTGGTGGTCCATTGCAGCCTTGTTACACGTTTCGGTGCTCCGAAGTTTCCGCCTGACACACATTAATCAATGCATGGAAGGCGTCCGCCGTCTGACACTAATGAAGTTTCTTAACAAGATTAGAAAAATGCGATAAGCGCAAATGCCGCTAAATAAACGTTGTATTGTCATAGCGCACAATCGAAACCGTTAACTAAGCAGCTGAGTACAATGAAAAAAAAATTGCAAGTACTGTTGAAGAGTTCATTGGGTCAGCATTACGTGTTTCGTTTTCGCTGCGAGAAATATTTGATATAAAAGTGAAACTCCATTGAGCTGAAGCTGGTGCTGAAGCTGGAGCTGGAGCTGGACAAATGTGCTAATCAACTACGGTCAGCCGCACAGATCATCTAACAGAAATTATATATTTTCACTGTGATTTATATGCCGGCAATTACAGACCGACTCGCTGATCGGCCATTACGCGGCGTAATAATGCAAAAATACCGAAAAATCAAAGAAGAAAAAAAAAAAGTGGATATCAAACAATGGAGGCCCGAAAAATAAAGTATACAAAATAGTGAAAAACCAAAATCATTTATCATAATCATTGTGATTGATTCGTTGAGAAAAAAAATAAATATCACAAGTGAACGAAAAATATTGTTATACTCGTATCTTTGGGGTCGCAGTCAAAGGCGCCCGCTCATCAGGCATATAAACGTTGCTTATTGTTGTTGTCTCACGTCTCGGGGCTCACGTTTTGCTCCATTGAATCATTGAATCACTCACTCAACTGCGTTACCTCTCTTGGCCAGCATGATCCAAAAATTGTTTTGATTCGGTGACTGACCGGTTAGCAATTTGACCGCCTCGAATAGCAGCTGGCGCGTTACAAATATATAAAGGGCAATAGTGCGAAATGTGCAGACTTCTTTCATTTGTTTTTTATAGCCAAATAGCGGTCAATTGTTAAAAATATCCGTAGAGTAATATATAGCTTGATTTTTTATTTTTTTATTTTTCGTATCGGTTTCGAATATTATCAATCACACAGGCAGACATTTTGTGCCCTATTTAAAGCACTTTTAATGGTCTAATTGTGTTTCAGCTATAATAAGGAACATGAATTTTTGTCAGCCAAACGCAGACAATTAATTTGAATGATTCGCTTGGTTTTTGTGTCACCTGAACTTGTTAATTGAATGGGCCTAGGTGGGTCTGGCATTAATTGAACTGAAGTGAGTTTTAGGTAAGCTGAATGGAATTAAATTTTTTTTTTGACTAAACTGACCTAATATATATGAGTCTATGTTATACTTTAATATAAGATTCAAGCTTGTACTTATACGTATTTTTTTTTTTACATTTATAATATGATATTTATATATAGAGAATTATATTATTAGATCTTTAACCAAATGTTATATACCTATAATGTAAGAGTCAGTTCTTCAAAAGTTTTGCCTATCAATTAAAGCTAATTATGAACACAAAATTTCTAATTTCTTTTCTAATTTTCTTTCACTATCGATATAAAATATATAAATTACAAAATATTATTTATTTAGTATTATTTATTTCAGAGTTCTTGCGCTTGACTTGATTAAGTTGTCACACACTCCGGTCGCTGCTTTGTCAGCTGCTCACAGCTTCCCGTCTATATCCATAAATCGTTGGCTATGGATCTGATTTGGCCATCTTCCATATTAATCACGCCGCATGAGTTGCTTTCAGCAGACAATGGCGCGAAATGCCCGTCTGCATCTGCTCTGCTTTTTGGCCATAGTTATGATATATTTTGTTGGTTTTGTTTTATTTTTGTTTTCGGCAAACTGTTGACCAACTTTTCAGATATACGAGTCTTAAATACGCTGGCGCTGTTGCGTTAGTCAAGTGGCTTAATTTATATTTATGAAACACAGCACGAACATTAACCGCGCCGCCTTTGGGCCAACATTTCTGCTGACCAGGCCAAGCCAGACTTGGGCCGCAGGCTCATGCGTTTGTCGAACTGCCGAACTTGTCGAAGAGTTATGGCTTTGACCCACAACAAAACCAAACGACAAACAGACAGCCAGAGCGACACACACACACACACACACATGTCGTACACTCACTGTGTCGCACACATGTTGTGTGCAGTGTTTTTTTATGAAGTGGACCTCTTTGGCTCTGAACCTGCACCACGGCTCGTAATAACAATTTAGGCTTGTTTGGCGTCTCGGGCGGCAATTTTGCACATTAATTACAAATTACAGATTTATTAGGTATGAGCGCTGGCCGACTGGAGACGTCCCTGGGCATGTACCGCCCAAAAAAATGAACAGCCAGACTCCTGGCCACACGCTACAGCTGGCTGGCTGGCAGAACTTGGCTTAAATATTAATGAGTGGTGTAATTTGTTGCATTGTATGTAATAAATTAATAGTGCGTGTGTGTGTGTGTGTATGTGTTTGCTTGTGTGTATGCATCGCGGCACTCTTGAGAGCCAGGCTTCGAGTGTACCTGACGTTTCTAGACCGTGTGGCGCAACGCGCATTTGCATATGTGAGAGAGAGCGCGAAACCACTTGCAACTCGCCGACCCAGCCAGCGCCGCACTGGCCACAGTTGCACCTACTCCGCACTCTTCACGCTGCACAGAAGTGCATGAGTGGGCACTCGAAAAGTACTTGCCACTAGACTGATTATAGTCAATTCGGTGAATTGGACCACCAAGTGGTAGCTGCAACAGCAACAGCAACAACAACAGCAACAGCAACAGCTGCAGCGGCAATCGCCGTCCAAGACCGACACATCCGCAGCAAGCGGGCTTAGCCACTGAGCAGGGCAGGCAGCCCAGTCATCGTCAACGTCAGCCTCATCATCGCCAACAACACCAACACAAAATCCACGCGCTTTGCGGCACAGTGGCACTAAACCAGTGGAAATGGGACGAAACTAAGAGCTGCAATTGCAGGTATGCTGAGATGAAACAGCTTTGCAGACCCGAAGTAAATGGAATGCATCGAAGAGAGTATGACAAAAGACTATGAGCATGTATATGTAGCGATATTCTTCACATTAAAACTCTTTATGATAGTAAGAAAATTCTCATAGGATCAGCTTCTATAACCTTCACTTAAGATCATATTTTGGCAATTGCCAAATGGATCAATTTCCATCACTATATTATGCCATATAATATATTATTCTCCCACATATTTTTACCCATTTAAACCCATATTTGGCCCACTGTGATCTGCTAACAGCGCCAGCGCCAATAAAAACGTAAATGGCGCGTGATTCTGAGGCGTCTTCCACTATACTGCCCTCAACACACACACACACACGCACATTCACCTACTCACACACACACACACACACTTGCCCATTACAACAACCACTTCAAGATGGCCACAAGAGTAGCATCTTATTTTGCTGCCTTTTGGCTTCGATGGCGGGCCATTTTTACAGGCAGCGGCCTGCAGGCGGGACACGAGAGAAGCGCGCGGCAGTCGGGCAGGGGGCCAGCGGTTGTGTGGCAGGGAATGAAGCCACATAATGAAAAGAGTGTGTGAAGAATTTTAAATTCAAAATTGCATGAAAAGTCGTGAGTCGCAAATAGCTTGTTGCTGTGGATGTGGATGTGGCTTTGGCTGCGGCTGTTGTTGTTGCTGTTGCTGTAGCTTGGCCCATTGCTGTACGAACAGACAGATATCCTACTCATCACTTGAGAAAATGAAAAAACAATCATAAACAGCAACAGCAAACT